GTCGACTCATGCATGATTGCCGATTCCTAGGTAATTCGGTTTTATCTAATGGGAAAGATGTACTTGATGATAAATCATCAATATTGTATTCTTACTTCCTACTTTTTATTTTTGTTTTGAAACGTGCATCTAAATCTGTCTCTTGAAACGCCGACTAAAAGAATTGATCTAAAATTAACCAGCTGAACGAGAGCAAGCCTTGTATATCAGGCTTGTAATTCAGGCATCGGGCACCCTTCCGCGGAAACATAACTAGTGGACCAAAGTTGCTCTTACCCAGCAATGAAAGGTACATATATAACTGAAAACTTTTGAATTGAAAAACCTGCTCAATACTAATAGCCAACTAAAAAGTTAGCAAAGGTTATGTTTATAAGATTTCTGTTTGACGCAGCCCTCGACCTTGGAACATTCTAATTATTGATTATAAGCCTATTCAAAAGAAAGGGCGCATTTCCTTTCCTTTCCTTCTGTAGAGTTTCTATAAATTTCTTCTCAAATGTGTTTCAACAATAAATCAGCTTATAATAAACAATTTTCATATTTGTTTAAATAGTGCAAAAGTACTGGAAAAATCAGAAAATGTGCAACAAATAAGTGATTCCTAAAAAACTGTCTTCATCACTCTTTTTCTAATGCTTTTTCTTATACAACGTAAAAACCCAAACCATTGGCTGCACTCTTGATCTCTTGCACTAGAAAATGGAACGCAATTTTGCAATCTATATGAAATGAATGTTAGTCCAACATTGAAGTGCTAAATCAGACATTTATATAGTCATATTTATTAGGCTGAGGAATAAGTTCGTAGCGTTTCTATATTTTCTTATGCTTTCAACAATTTTTTGCTGTTTAACAGAAAGTATAGTAATTTTTCGTTAGAGCATTTTCTGCTCTACACAATGGTAATCGTCCTTTTGAGTAGTTTTGTCTTTCATTACTTGCAACATGCGAACCATCAAAGTCTTCCGGTCAACACAAGCTGCATAAAACTCGAATATATTTTATTGCAGCTTCGGTGCGGATTGTCGAATTGAGAATGCAGCTTTCAATTTTGAGGACAATTAGTAAAGTTGACAAGTTTGAGAGATCTCCTAGAACCCTTACAGATAGATCCTTCAAGGACGGTAAAACCATGCTATCAACTCCGCTTCCCG